ACATTAAACTAAATTATTATTATAATAATTTTGTTATTTAATTTAGACCCGATGCAGGACTCTGGGGCCCCTGAGTAGAGGGCTCCGCCTGTGTTTATATAACAAGGGTTACCATACGTAACCCCTCGTTATATCTCTCACAGGCTCCGCCCTCTACTGGACTCTATGGGTATAGTGGGCGGAGCCCCGATGTATACACGCGCTGTCGTCCAACAACACTGTTCCATCTCACTGTCTCTGACCGGCTTTCTAGTTAGCAGCCGCTGCGCCTCACTCACCTCTCCCTCGGTCGTAACCATGGAGAAAGTTGGGGCTGTAAATATATCAAGATATATATAATTGGTGTAAGCTAGCTCCTGCAGTCTCCTTGATATCATCCTACTCATAAAACAGTAACGTGTGGAGTTTAACATTTTTCACCAGAAACAACAACAAACTCTTCTTTTTTCTTTCAGCAAAAGACATTACACAAACACATAATCCCCAAGAGAAGAAAGAAAAATAAATACAATTAAAACTGTGGTCGCAGAAGTGCGCGCAGTGATGAGCGGGCCCTCGCGTCCGTGCGCCTGTCGGGGAGGGCGGCCGGTCGTCCCGGCGTCAAGCAGACGCGTGCGAGTCCTCGGAAATGAGCAGTTTCTCATTTCTATAATTTTTGACTTATGTCAACGAAGCACAGCTCTGCAAACTGTTCCCGTTGTGATTATAAGTTATTTAAGATGATCAAATGTGCATCAGACTTTCTGCCCTTTACCGTTTGTTTACTCACTATCTCCCCCATTTATCTCCCCTGGATGTTAGGCTATTTGTTTTTGCTACAACTGCTTTCATTCAGATGCGATGTTTACAGTGAGAACAGCAATAATATATGCAACAGGCCTACATTGCACACATTATTTGTATGCTTTAGTAGATATCTACAAGTAAAGAGTAGATATTATTCATGAAACCATATAGTGCTTCACATAATAAAATATACAAGGGCTGTAGCCTGATATACATTATATGCTTTAGGAGCTGTATGTTTGTGTTGTGGAGTGTATGAGTGTCTGTTGTAATTGAATTTGCCGCCAGCAGAGGCGGTGTGTGTGTGTGTGTGGGTTAACCCTAACCCTAACCAGTTATGAGAATTCATTTGTAAGCCCCGCCTTTTTGCAAACAGGTTTCGATTAATGACGGCCATATTTATCGACTGAACATGCTCATTTTCTACGGTAATGTGTCTGACCCTCCACCGATGCTGTATACTAAGTGTGGCGTTGAAAAACAAAAAATGGAAATTTAAGGTAATATTTCACTGTTTTTATCATTATGCTAATTTGAAAAAAATGAAGTAGGCGGAGTTTAGGGGTTCAAGGAGATAATATGTAGAGTGGGTCCACCCGAATATGTGCGTGTGTGTGTGTGTGTGTGTGTGTGTGTGTGTGTGTGTGTGTGTGTGTGTGTGTGTGTGTGTGTGTGTGTGTGAGTTGATGTGCCAGGCAGACAGACAGGTAGGTTATCTGACATATAAATGGTCAAAAATGGTACATTCTCCGTTAGCCTACGAGCTCCCCGTTCGAGCGAATGACTATTCCTTCGCAATGTATTATCACATTGGATATGCGCTTAAGTTGTCCTGGATTGGAATTTTTCCGATCATTCCCCTAGGAGGAGTTGGCAAGAATGTGCTTAAAATGCATGAAAAACGCACATTTTTCAAAATGGCCGACTTTCTGGGGGGCGGGGCTAATGAAAAGTAATTTGAAATATGTATGCAATCATAATAGCAATGTGGATACAGCGTTTCGTGAATATCTGAAAAACTATATGCGAGTAGTTTGGAGTAATGTAAATCGTCAAAAATGGTGTATTCGCTGTTAGCTTACGACCTCCCCGATTGAGATATCAAAAATGTACTCCGCAATTTTTCATGACATTGGCTAGGGGCTGAACCTGTCCTGCATTGGAACTTTTCCGATCATTCCCCTAGGAGGAGTTCGCAAGAATGTGCTTAAAATGCATGAAAAACAATTTTTTTTCAAAATGGCCGACTTCCTGGGGGGCGGGGCTAATGGAAGCTAATTAGTAATATGTCCGCAATTCCATGAGGAATGTCTGTGCCAAAATTCGTGAAGTTCTGAGAAACTATATGTGACTACCACACAATAGGGGGCGGTAGTGAGCAGTTTTTTTGAAAAATTACGTTTTTTTTTTACATTGTCGAAAAGGTCGTGGGCTTTGACGTGTGTCCCAAGTTTTGCGTCCGAAGCTAATTTTATGCTATCGCAATTTATTAATTGCAATTATAGGCCACGCCCACATTCTGAATTTGTTGCGACACTTTAAATCTCAGTTCGTAGTCACCCCGAGAGTATGTGTAAAGAAAAATAAAATCAATTCGTCCATCCGTTCTTGAGTTATAAATTGGTGGTGTTTTTGGCGCCCCCTATAGTCCAAAATGAAAATGCTTTGGTGTGCCTATTCCCCAAGACAGACTGAACCTATCCACCAAAATCTGTGATATATGGATACATTGTTGATGAGTTATGAGCATTTCTTTCTAAGCCCCGCCTTTTTTCGAGTACGTTTTGATTGACGGCCAGGGGCGTCGCCTGGACCTGAAAACATTCGGGGCTTAGCCCACAGTGGCGGCGGCACTACAGTGGCATTTTTTACTGCAACACTCCCCACACGCACACACACAGTACACCCGCGACTGTTACAATGAAGGCTCGATAATCAGCTCACGGCATATAGGCAGGAGTAAAGTGGTATTGTTTATGAGTGGGGGGCTCACCTCCTCGTGGGGGTCCGGGGGGATGCTCCCCCGGGAAGATTTTTTTTTTAAATATTGAAGTTAAATGCATCAATCTGGTGCACTTTGAGAGCAAAATGAAGAGATCTATGGATACCTCTCTCAACACCCATATGAAGCAGAACTGTAAACAGATGTACTTTTTCTTTATGGATATTTTACTAATCACTCCCCTTTTAAACTCTATTCTTGTTTTACTGCCATATAGTATTTCATAACTGTTTTTCCTTTATTCTCTTTTTTTTAATAACTATAATGATCATATGAAGGTGTGCCGCGGAAATAATCTTTTGAATAATTTGTGACCAAACCGTTTGAGACCCACTGAGATAACTTAGACTAAAGTTAACTATCTAAACACTCAGAGAGTCCTTTAGCTCACCTGAGTCTCTCAGTCTGAGAGGAGAGGACTCTCCTCCAGCTTCTTGTGGAACAAACAGCTCCTTATGTCCGTTAGTGCAGCTAGCTAACCAGATGCTAACAACACGGTCCATGCTGACACCGGTCTCTCCCTCCCCCTCTCTCCCTCTCTCCCCCTCTCTCTCTCTCTCACATGCGCTATTGCCACACACACACACAGAGCCGAGCTTGAATGACACACGTTTATTTCCATGCAACTCTCTGATTGGTCTGGTGTCATGCCTCTGTTGCATTCACTGAAAACGGGAAATTACAGTGCTGCCGTCCTCTCTTGTGTCATGATGAGGTTCACATAAAGCACGGTTAATGTATTATATTATTGAGGGAGAATTGTCCGGGGCTACAGAAAAAACATCCGGGGCTAAAGCCCCGGATGCCCAGGCCAGGCGACGCCACTGTTGACGGCGGCAATATTTATCTTCCTAACATGCTCATTTTCTACGGTAATGTGTCTGACCCTCCACCGATGCTCTATACGAAGTTTGGTGTTGAAAAACAGAAAATTGAAATTTAAGTGAATATTTCACTGTTTTGAACATTATGCTAATTTAAATTATTTGTAGAGCAGGTCCACCCGGATATGTGTGCAAAATTTCAGGTCATTTGGAGTTACGGTGCGACTTTGTAAATGTATTCCGAAATGGGATTTTGATAGGTGGCGCTAGTGAGCAGGTTGGAATATTTAACCCATTGACTCCAGAATATTGTAGTTTTCACCAGTCCTGGCGTCCGTGCAAAATTATACAACTTTGTAAGTGTCCTAAAGGCCTCAAAAACAGGAAACGCCAGCAGAAAAATAAGAAGAAGAATAATACCACGACGAACAATAGGTTCCTCGCACTTCGTGCTAGGACGCCATTGGGTCCTAGCGCTCCGTGCTCGGGCCCTAATAAACAAGAAAAAAAGTAATACTTAAATAAATAAAATACAAAAATATACAGGTGCTGTCAGCATAATTTAAAAGAGAAAACTCAAAACAACATAAATTATAAAAAAATATGTAAATGGACATTTACAAAAGGTTTCAACATTAGGTTACAAAGCTGCAAGACAAGAAGCTACATCACATCCAATCATAGCATATACATCGCCAAAGTCATATCTAGTTCCTTTCTAAAACTGTAAGAATTTCCCCCATATTTTATTAAAGATATCAGACTTTCCCTTTAAAGCATAGGTTAATTTCTCTAAGGCCAGACAATGAGAGATATTTAACATAGGCCTATTGTTAGTCTGGTATCGGATCGCTAGAAACACCGCTGTCATCAGACTGGCAGGGGCTGTTCCATGCTCTGCTCAACCTCCCGCCGTCCAAATGGACTCAGTAGCGCCCCCTCCTGCCCTGCCGTGGAGCATGAGTGTGTATGTGTACATTTGTGAGAAAATCCTGAGCACAACCACGGCGGAATATTACTGCCAAAAGTCACGTAATATTCTGTGACGTAAGAAGAAAAAGTTTTGTACTTGTAAAAAAAAGTTTTGTACTTGTAAAACCTATGCTGAATTTGTCTCTGAAACATGATTTATTAGACAAATGTAATGTGTTTGTTTGATAGATACGTTTTTTATTTGCAAAACTAAATGCATTAGTTTGTAGATGGTGTTTTGTATTTGCTAACCACACTGTGTTTGTTAGTGAATCATAAGGCATTTGTAAAACTTGTTTAGTTTGTTTGTGGAGTTATGGCAGGAAATTAGCTCCATACACATGAGTCAACACGGACAAACTCACCAGCTGGTCGTTGTTACAAAAGCATCAGTTCCAAGTTGACATGAGACTTACCCTCCGTTGTGGCGTCCTGCAGGTGCTTCTCTGCCCGGGGGGCTTGGGGGGTGTCCGCCCTGAACAGGATGCGAGTGTTGTGGGTCTGCAGCCCCTCATGACCGCTGGTGACCTCGGCTAGCTCACAGAACAGAGTCACCCTCTCCTGCAGGAGCTCCAGCATCTCCCGGTCCTTCTGCTGGATGTCAGCTGAGGGTGGGGGGGATCGGGGGCGATTAATCACCTGTGACTACAAGTACTGCCTCACAGCTAATGCACCAATATGTACAGACATGGTACACACCTATGTGCATACAACACACAGCCCTAATACAGTGTTGCAGGAATAAGTCCTAAATCCAAAAATGAGTTAGCATTTCAGCATTTCAGCATTTCAGCATTTCCGGGTTCAGTTGTCTCAAAGTCAACAGTTTTTATTTGGTATACCATTCCCAAAATAGGGTCTGTGGTTAAGTCAAGCTGAAGAGAACTCATGTTCTAAGGCATACAATGTGTCAGTAAATAATCCACCGGTGAACGTCTGAAGCTTTTACTTGTCTTAAAAACAGCGGTTGCTAACAAGTGGCTAAATGAGACTAAACGTCATCACGCCCCAAAATAAGCAGGATTTAGCTTAGCGATGGTGACGTGAAGTCACCCAACTGCCATGTAAATCATGTATAGCCTAAGGTTAAATTAAATGTTGATTTAATTGATATTACAGTTTAATGTACTCTACCTTTATATTATTTTCCCTTTCACTTATTTATTTATTCTCATTAACTTTGTAATACATGTATTTATTAATAAATGTTGTAATAATGTATGCACATTTTCTGTACATTTCTCTATATTTTCCCAAATCAATTTTTTTCTGTATTCTCTTGTCAAAGTCTGTATCTCCATTTCAAAACACTCTGCTTTAATTAAAGCCTGGTTCCAGACCTCAGATCTGGTAATAATGCAGATAGAGCAAACAGAATCCATTCCAAACTAAAAGATGGCTTTGTTTCTATCTTCATGATAAAAGCAGCTAACCAGTGGCGAGCCGTCAGGGCCCTCTGAGGGCCTAAGATATTCTACAAAATAATATTTAAAAACATGAAAAAATAGAAAGAAATTGTAATATTTTTTTTAAATATTCTTTTAGTTATATTTTTCATTAGTTTTACCAAAATAACTTGATTTAATTGTATTTAAAATAACATTTCCAAATAAATAAATCCTTCGAATCTGCCTATTCAGTTTCTGTTGGAATGTGAAGGGTTAAATGAAAGAAGCTCCTTTGGTCGTCTCTGCGAGTTACTGTGAAGATAGGAGCTGATTGGTGGTCCTGCTGTAAATTCACAGAGGGTCCGCTACAGTAACTGAACGAGAGAGTAATGTCAAATGACAGTACAATTGACCGATCATATCTTCCCTCTAAATGGGTGGGTTTTATTATCGCGGACTTTATGACAAGTTCCGCCCGCTGTGAAGCTTTTCTCCGTCACGTTGTTTCCATAGCAACAACAACAGCGTAAACTGTCCATACAAAATAGGAAGCCAAGCCAAATTACACTTAAGACATATAAACAACTGCAACGAAAGTAACAAACACAATGCAATATCTTTTTCAATTTGAAAGAACACAAATTGGGTTATTTACAGGTGTTGTTTTGTGTGGTAGAGGGTCGCTTTCATTGATGCGTTTTGCACCCCGGGCCGTTGTTTTGATATTCCGCTGAAGTATACGTTGTGACCATAGACTGTATATATAAATGGGCGTAGTGTCCGTGACGTCACCCATAGGATTCTGCAGAGTTGCCGAGAAGCCCTTAGTAGGCGGAGTCGGCCACTAACGTCTCGACAGTGATGTCAGAGTCTAACTCCCGCCTGCTCCAGCCTGATCCAAATAAGGGCAAAGAGGCGGAGCCGAGGCGGGACCTTCTGCCTCCGAGCTGGAAGTAACAGAGCTAGTTCAAGCTAAGAAGCTAAGCTAACATGAAATACATGCATACCAAGTTACTGCGTGGCACTTTTGATAAAACAGTGTAGTTCCACTATATAAACGATACATTCATAACCAAACGAGACAATCTGCAAGAGAATTAGCTATTTTTTGTTATTCTTAATGCTTGTCATTCACACGTTAATAAAAATAAAATAAGTACCGATACATAGCAGAACAATTGTGGCGATGTTCAGCTTAATAAGCCTTGTTCAACATAATTTATTTAGCTAATACTACAGCGGGCTGCAGGCGAACCAAGTCCGCGTTTCGCTGCATTCCTTGATCTCCAGTTATAACGCCGGACTCCGCCGCTGGGACGCCGGCTGGAGCTAGCCCCCTGCGGCTCTGTTAGCTCCGGCGGCCACCACTGGGATAATTGGGTCCCCTTTTAACATTTGCTCCCGTTTAGCATTATGGGCAAATAGTAATAATAATAAAATGTCTCCACTGATCTGTGTTGTAAGTGTGATTTCTGTATGATTCCAATCGCTTTTTATAGTCAAAATCAGCAAATTTGCCGAGCTCCGCTACGGGAGCGATGAGAAGTGAGGCAGGGACGTGCTCTGCCTCTCGTAAGCCCACAGTAACTTGCTGGAGCACGGGCACTAATTTAGCGCGGGCACTTATTTTGTGAGCGCGCTCAAGCCAGTTACTGTGGGGTGAGGTGAGGCACAGATGAGCTCTGCCTCACCTCAGAATGCGTCACCCCACAGAAACTGGCTGGAAAGCGGGCCCTAAGCGCATGCCTGTTACCATCTCACTGTAGGTCAACAATGTAATGTTTGTAGATCCCTTTATTACATTTATCCTCGCCATCCATAGTCTCTAAATAACTTATTTCACGTATATATGATATTTAGGCTCGCTGTTCTCATCATACAACGGCAATGAAAAAAGCACCAGGGGAGGCAGCCATAACCTCTGAAGGGGGCGCACGTGAGCCCACAGGTTCTTGTTGCTACTGTTATTCTACGCAGAGACGGTAGGCGCAAACAACAAACTAGACTTTTGAAACTACAGGAAGATAAGGAGGACTTTTACAATAAAGTTATAGAGATTGTTGTCCAGAAGGATAGCATGGACTTCATCTTCAAGTCAAGGTAAGACCGCATTTGTAATGAAAATGGGATCTTACTAAGAAAGAACAATCCAATATTTAGATTTTGGATATCCTTTTGTTGATCGGTCTGTTTAAAATGAATCGAAGCATCAGACTAAAAAAGCTTTTGAAAATAACCGAATATTTCGATTAAGGTCAAAATATAATATTTGTAAATCTGACTCAGTGAGTCAGTGCCTCACCAGCCATGAACCTCACCGCACGTCACTGATATATATATATATATTAGGGCTGTCAGTCGATTAAAATATTTAATCGCGATTAATCGCATGATTGTCCATAGTTAAAGGTGGGGTAGGTAAGTTTGAGAAACCAGCTCGAGATCGCTAGAATTTGAAAATACACAACCGGAGAAAATCTGCCACTTCCTTACAGAGCCCCTCCTCCAACACACACGAACGCGCACATGACCAATGAGGGCACGAGATAAGTTTGTGCACAGATGGAAGGCTGACAGGCAGGTAGGCCATCCAGTTATTTTAGCCGGGCCAGTATTACGGCTTCCACAGATGACATTTTTTTATGGATTTTTTGTCAAAGCACTTAAGATATTCATTGCTATCGGGATGTTAAGAGCATTCCATGGAATATAACAAAAAGTGTATCTCGAGCCGGTTTCTCAAACTTACCTACTGTTAGAAATTAAAATCAATGTTTTATGGCATAATTTAGTCTAAAACATACAGTCAGTTTAAAAGCAGTCTTATGAAGAACTCATTGATTCCAGTATTGTGTTCACACCTTAAAAGGTGTGAAAGGAGGGATTGTTAGAAATTAAAATCAATGTTGATGTGGCGTAATTTGAATGAAATACACTATTTCATTTAAATCTGTTTTATTCTGAAAACCGAAGATTCACATGTGACTTCCGGTTTTTCCGCTGGTGAATTTCGTCATTTCCGGTTAGCATTAGCTTGTGGCGAAATGCTACGTTTTCAAACCGTGAATTGAAGGTGAAATAACGTGATGTTGTACACTAAACACCCTGAGTTTAACACTCATTTATTGACGCTGGAATGAGGTTTATTAGGGAATGTTTAGATGACCACAGACAGAGTGATGTAATTTAGCAGCAGAAACCGACAGGATTTGCATTGGACACGCCCCCGTCGACGCCGGCCAATAGGAGAAGACTACAGGTCTTACCCGGGAGACCCAAGGAGGATCTCCCTCTCTCTCCTTGCCCGCAGCTGACCCGGACGGACGGGACCAAAACAGCTGGGAGGAGCAAACCACCAACGAGCACATTCCTTTTGTAAACCACCGCATCTTTTGTGTAATAAAATGCTGTTAACTTGTATAAGCTTGCCTTGACTCTTTTCAGTCTCTCCTGCTCTCGGGGTTCAAGAATAACTAACACTACCCTACCGCACATTTTTTATCTGTTCTAAATGTACCTTAGAGTGATATTTTTCAAGTTTTTAATACTCTTATCAACATATGAGTGGACAAATATGCTTTATATATTTGTTTATTATCATTTGAACAATGACAAATATTCTCATGAATATTAAACACAACAACCTCTGAACATTACAAATATTCGCCTCAATTCAACCTGGAACCTCTCTCATACAATAATACTGTGTGTGTGTGTGTGTGTGTGTGTGTGTGTGTGTGTGTGTGTGTGTGTGTGTGTGTGTGTGTGTGTGTGTGTGTGAATGTGGAGACACTGTGATGGATCGTTGGAGCTATGTGCAGCTCAAGGCATATATGCTGGAACGGGAGCTGCCTGGACGCTGCAATCATGTTGCGCGCACTATCCGTGCTGAATGTGCTGACTTTTCGTACAATGTCCCACTGTCTGGCTACCTGCATAAAGTCAAGTGCTCGGCGCAGTTGTCGGCGAAATGTCGCTCCTCTGTTTTCATTGAAACAGCTCCTTATATCCGTTAGCGCAGCTAGCTAGCACCAGATGCTAACAACAACAACAACAACACATAAGGTGTGCCTCGCTCGCTCCACACATACACACACCCTCCCGGTCCTCCCGATGGCCAGTCCGGGCCTGCCAGTGAGCGTGGAAGTGTGGTCTGCCACAAGCGGGCGGCAGGAGCGGGGCTGTCAGCATCAGCTTGTAGATGGTATTTTAAACTCGATGCGCTCTGAAACTACGGGGCGGCCGAGGACAAAAAATACACATGCGTTAATCGCGTTAAAATAATTAGTGGCGTTAATTTTTTTAACGCGTTAACTTGACAGCCCTAATATATATATATACATGTATAAAGGGTTACGTCCTTAGCTGGCTAATAAGCTATATAACAAGCTAAGCTAACAAGCACACAAACACCTGCTAACGGGGTTCATGTATAATATTATCATTTTAGACTTCTTGGAAGTTCTGTTAGTACATTCAAGCGCACAGCACGACATTTTAATTGTCTGGTATTTGTAACAACATTCCCTAAAAGGCACAATCACCACGAACACGGCTAAAGGGTCAAGTACAGTAACTACAACTAGCTAACGTTGTAGCCTAGCAGAGTGGACAAGTTGCTGTTAGCTGACAGTGAGGCACGTACCTGTCCATCAAAGTGACCACGCCCTAATTTATGCAAAAACTTTAAGACCTAATATAAATAAAAGGGTTGCGTTATAAAACAATTCACTCAACAATTAATAATAATTAAGGTGGAATCTAACTATATCCCGAATAATTTGTATTGCATCCAGGGATAGAAACATGTTTATTTCTGCTGGAAAGTTGGGCATTTTAACATGGGGGTCTATGGAAATTCATCCTTTCTGCAGTCATCGCCTATCGGCCAATAGATGAACTGCAGTTTGTGGCACTTCCTTATTGGCCTCCCGGCTCTGCCCCAGAGTTTGCCGCTTGGCTGTGACGTAATAACTGTTTTTCTTTTTCTTTTTCTTTTTGGAGGGAAGGTGGGGTCAGAGGGCCTAGGTATAAAAGTCACGGCTCGCCACTGCAGCTAACAGTGGTGTCTGCTGGTTGGCTAGGGGAAGGAAACTCCCTCCCTCTTAGAGAGAAAAGAGCTAATATGACACAACGTAAAACTTAATAAAGAGCTGAAAATATGTCTGATTTAATATAGATATTAGGCTTTAGGACAAAACAAGAATTCATGAAACAGATTGAAAAGTCGGACCTAAACATTGATGATGCATACAATAAATGCTGCTTTGAGTGTGTCAAAATGTCCGTCTCCTGACCTTTGAGTCTCCTCAGGTGGGCCTTCTGTTCCGTCTCTATGAGGGGGAAGTCCTCTCTCGATGGGCACCTGATCAACCAAAAGCACAGAGCTCACAATTATCATTCATGTGATTCATTTTTGTGTCTGTTTTTTTATACATAAATTGGACACATAAGAGGCAGAGATACAACAACCATATACAACCACAGTCATGCTGAAGGGTTAAGGTTCACAGAGTGGTGCAGTGATGATGTACTGATGTAGGCCGACTTGTAAGTTAGCATCAAAAGGGCTCCCTCAACGAAAAGCAATGGGATTTTTCCATTGGATTGGAATGTTGCAAAACATTGCTCTCAAGCAAACACACTTTCATGATACCTACACCTTTTGTTCACCAGGTTTATATCCATATTTAAATACTACTTTTATAGCGTAAATACAATCAAAAGAGGTAAAAAGCTAACGTTTAAAAAGGAACTATTACTATCCCGGTGACATGACTGCACAATTACCTAGTCTTATTTAGACACTTTTTACCGCTAACCGCCAACGATACATAGAAGTTTCAGACATTTCAGAAAAAAACATACTGACATATGTCATAGTCCAAATTTCAAATATCTTAAGCTTGTGTTATCACAAACCTTATTCCAGGAAATACACCTTTCTTAAAACCGTTGAATTCTAGGCGAGGGAACAGGAAGTGGTAAACTACTGACTCATTTCCAGATTTGGTTTTTAATTGATGACATATATGATACTATGACAGAACTCAACAAAAATAAATAGACGCATATACAGCTAAAAGAGTGCCACTAATTCAAAAACATGAAGTCCAGATGTTCAATTTGACTATTTGTAGGTGGTTTGTTCTTGTCTTATCAACAAAGCTACATGTAACATTGTAAATGCAATACATTGAGAAGTTAAGTAAATATTAGTTTAAGGGAAAATCTTTTAATATAATGAACAATAGTTCACATAAAAGTATTTTTTCAGCATAGAGAGAAACCTTGTACGTTCATGTGTCTGAGCATTAACCCACTTGCTGACGGTGCGCTGGATGTGGCGGATCCAGACGTTCTTATCTTCTTTGGAGGCAGCGTGGAACTCGTACATCTCAGGAGGAGAGGAGTCGCTGATGAGGAACATGCCTCGCTCCTGATTGGCTATATCCCTCACTATCAGGTTCTGAAGGGACAGCACTGAGGACTTGTCCTGGATCACACACAGGAGGAGGGTTAGCCACAGGAACAATAATAGAGTGACAGTATGGAGAGCTGTCCTTCCAGTCATCTGCACACAAAAATATACATTGGTAGATGCAATGTTGGTGTGTATGTGAGTACATTTCTTACCAGACATGGGAAGAAGTATCTTTGGTCTTTCTCCTGCAGAAACACCAGGACGTCTGTCATCAATAAGACCGTTGTATCTACACACACACACACACACACATACAGAATACAAGTTCACCAAAACAGGTTCAACTTGTTTCTCCACTATGTGAACACATGTAAACCTGAAGCCACAGATACCTAGATACCCTGAAAGAAATCTGAAATGCTTCTGCTGTCATAATATTGTGATTCCAAATCCCAGATGAATGTTGGACGAACCCCTACCTGTCATACCTCCGGTGCTTTAGTCCATCATTTCAATGTTTCACGACTGTGTCAATCAATGTATTCCTTTTGACATCATGCTTAGTAGTGCTTTTTAAAAAATGGCTAAAAGTATAGCAACGTATCAAGGTGCTGGGGGAATCACCTATACATTTTCAATAGATCAATCATAGATAGATCTTATGTTTTGGTCCTAATTTATAGTCAGCACACATTTGCAGGGAGAGAGGTGACAGATACATATTTCTCTGTCGTTGTGGTGCCAGTGGACAGACACACAGACACAGGCACGGACACATTATGCTGACAATGACAATGAGACAATGAGAATCTGGTTTGAGATGGAAGGAGGAATTGGTGAGCTAAATGTTTAGATGATCTGGTGACTTTGGCCCGGTTTGCTTTAATTGCACAATATTATTGCCTGTCTATAATAATACCCTGTTGCTAACTGCGTGCTAGTAACTGTGAGTTCATATTAAGTGAGCAAGTTAGCAGCTATTATTATTATACAGTTTGGATGAAAACTTGATTCTGGTCAATTTCAACATTTAGAACTATTTCTTCCTTTTCCAATAGCAGACTGTTTCTAAGGACGCTCTGATCAAGGGACCACACCCATTCATGTCAACCAGTCAAATAAGTCAATATACTGTCCGCTGTTATCTCCATCAGAAAACACTGGATTCATAAAAGCTAAACTGTCCCCAGTATAAAAGGAAAAGAATAACAACAACACAAGAGAAGGAAGAGGTTCAAGACACAGAGGGCCTTTCTCATTTCACTAATTTCCTCTCCTCGACTCCTATCCTCGTGTCTTAGTCCCGCCCACAGGAGATGCGAGCGGAGGACTGAGGAGGGGAACGAGGAGAGAGGAGTGGAAGCAGCAGGCGGTTAGAGAAATGAGAACTCCTCTCCTCTGAGCGGTCATTTTAAAGAGACGTCTATTAATGATGACAGGAGGCACAGCAGCACTCTGTCTGATGGACAGATGTGTTCATGACGACTTATATATTTACTTTGAATTCATTCACAGTGCGGTATAATGAGACAATAACAGGCTACAGATGCGGACATACACACACACACACACACACACACACACACACACACACACACACACACACACACACACACACACACACACACACACACACACACACACACACACACACACACACACACACACACACACACACACGCACCTACAGCTCCTAAAGCATAATCAGGCTACAGCCGTTGTGTATTTTATTATGTGAAGCACTAAATGGTTTTAGAAAAATATCGACTTTGTTTGTAGATATCTACTAAACTAAAGCAAATAAAGAGAGTAGGCCTGTTATACTGAGTGATATATATTTTACACACTGCTCTGCTTTCTGCACGGACCTCACAGCTGTTCTCACTGTAAACATCGCGTCGCGATGAAAGCAGTTAATAAAATAATATCCAGGGGATGCATGCAGAGCTGTGATTGGCTGAGATAAGTCCGGCCGTGCGTCACGACTCTTTGAAACATCTCTGTTGCCGGAAATGCATCCGCGGAGGAACCATCAGTGTATCCTCGATCATAGCTCCTCCAGAGAGCCTCCTCGACTCTCGATCCTCGGTCCTCGATGTGCATTTAGAGAAATGAGATGTCCTTCAACATGGCGCGCCGAAAACCATTTCCGGGTCACTACCGGAGGACCGAGGAGTCGAGATGGGGAAATTAGAGAAATAAGAAAGGCCCAGAGAGTTGAAGTACCGATAAATCAACAGAAGAAGACAGACAGGAAGTAAACAATAAAGGGAACAGCAGAAGAAGACAGACTGGAAGTTAACACTAAAGGGAACAGCAGAAGAAGACAGACCGGATAGTTTTACAGCTTGATGTACCTTTGAGCCGGGATCCTGGGGTTTTCCAGAACAGGGTTCCTTCATGGACCAGTCTCCTGCGGAACAGCTCTGAAGGCTTGAACAGTCCCCCATCCCTCACTCTGGTTTCAGAACGCGGGTCTAGCTTGGCCTGGATCTCTTGCAGACGCTGTGTTTGTTCCAGGTCCTCCATCTGCCAACCAGGACAAAAAGTTACTGTATCTTCCATTTGGAGTACAAAAGACAGTACTAATGAACATGAAAGAGCCTTGCTAATCTGATTCTATTTCAATTTAATTCAGTAGGGGACAACAACAAATTGGTGCTTAATTAATCATTCTAAACATAATCCAGACATGGGAAGACATGGGAATGACCAACAGTTTGCAGCTGAATTGCAGTTGACTCTTCAGTCAATTTCACCAACATCAAATCAATGCAACGCAAAACAACTAGCTAGCTTTTAACTTGGTTCACTTTTAAAAGCATTTTGCCTTATTTTTCTTCAAGGTTTCCACGACTGCCTTTTGTCTTATAATAATAAGATTATAACATAACATATGTCACACAAGAGAAGCTCAACAAATGCTAACAGCCCATGTATTATATTGCCTTTATATATGTTATATCTTATACTGTATATGGCCAATATGTTTCCAAAACAAATGTGGTACCTGTTGGTCTATTGCACTTAGAAGTTCTCTGACCATGAAGCTAGCCTGGGCTATAGAAGAGGCTTCCTCTTCATCATCTGGAAGAGAAATACAGGAAACAGGATTATTAGCTAAGAATAAGAACCTAAAGCAAAAAGCACAAAGAAAAAGTACAAGACATACTTTATTAACGGGCAAATTACTTTTTGTAGACGGAACATTTACCAAATGTATCAATTTTGCCAATCATTAAACAGATTTAGGTTTGGGAAGATTTCTCAGACTTTAACAATCACCAAACAAAACATAAGGGCAGTAAACTGTTAAAGCTGTGGGTATGGAGGTACACTTCACAGTGACTGATCATTATCTTCTTATATAGGATGCTTCACCGTTCACTGCAGTATTTTCCAGAATACGCTGAACAAGGACAGGATATTTGGAGATCCGCTGAATCACCAACAAGATGCACTCCTGAACACCATGGCGACGCAGCAAGGACCCACGACTCACCCGCTGCCCAGGGACAGAGAGAAACACAGAAAAAAGGATCCTGGTTGACATTTTATTTTTATTTTGCAACCACACTCAGCTCACCCTGAATGATCCCTGGTCTGCATCCATCCCATAGTAATACATCTATAACCACCTTCTGGCTCAATCCCCAGCCCAATGGCAGAGCGAGTGCATGCGCCCATTGTAACTAAATGGCATTGCTGCTCAGGAATAAAGGCATTTACACATTTGACTGCAGGAATCTATGTACCATAATATTAGATGAATTGATAGGTCAGCAGAATAAGGTCCAGTCAGAACACACGATAGGTTCAAATATTTTAAAGTCCATTGTTGGCGGGGCATTAGAAACAGATTTACTATTCAGAGTTTCAGCCAATCCACTGATAGAAGACGCATCATATCTATATATATATGTGGTGTATACTTATAGTTTCCTTTCATATGGAAATGAAGGGCTTCATCAGCAATTGTAGCTTGTGTCTTTACAAACCAGGGCCTTGGGAGGTTTACTTAGACCCCGACTCTGTGTTACCAACACATGGGGTACAGTTGCTGTGTCTCTAATGTGTCTCACCCGTATGAAGCTCTGGAACTTCTTGTCTCTGGCCAGCAGTTCCTTGTACAGTTTGACAGCCTTCATGTGGCGGCTGCAGAACTCAGCGTAGGTCTTCCTCATGTCGTCTGCACACTGACCTGAGAACTGCAGAAGAACACAGTGGTGCTTTGTCTGTGTGTATGAATGTGAGAAAACTGCTTAATGGAAGACACTGTTCTGACCTGCTATCTCTTATTCACATTTACCATTAGATACAAATCTAAAAGGTAATATAAATATTTTATTAAAAATATATAATCTATTTTAACAATTCATTGTAAAAAAACTGCAGTTTAACTAAAATAACAATACCAACTCAAGTTAGGCTTATAAATAACTTATAAAAGAGCTTAATTGAATACTAGATACTGATTGGTCAATTTGGATATCCAACAGTTTGCTCCTTTTTGATAGCAGACTATTGTTAAGGACGCTTGATCAAGGGACTGGTCTGGTAAATGTAACGTCAGCTGTGACCAAAACACATACTTGTTGAATATTTGTATATTTATGGAAAGAAGACATTTTTGGATTCATGATGGCTAAACTGAAATAATCTTGAGTAGCGCTGCTTCGCCGTAAGACGCACTTTTTTTCTTAATGCAGGTAATACGATCATAATAAATCAATGTCTTGTGTCAAATTATTTGCATCTATTCAGGGTCATTCAAAACGCTGTGTCCCTGACACCGGCACACCCTGTCAAAGTCACTAAGCCATAGAATTACACAGAAGTATTTTCTGTCATAACCAAATGAGTTCTAGTTCTGCGTGACTCTGCCAGTGTGCAGTGTTTCTGTCACCTGCTCTAGAAGAATGTCTCCCAGCTGGTGGATGGTGTAGTTGCGGTATGATCCAGGCTGCAGGCTGCAGTTGTGCCGCAGGAGAAGCTGAGCCAGGAAGTGGGAGTGTATCCTGATCAGCTGGTCCAGGCAGGGGAACATGGCATGAACGGTGCACAGGTCCATCTGGAGCTCATCCAGCATGCCCTGCCGGAAAACCCTTTCCATGATGTGCAGCGTTCTCATGTGGTGCAGCTCTGTCTGAATCAGCTCTGAGAAGAACACACACATACATATGTTTGAGTCTAAATGATCTGTGTTCAACGATACATTAAATGTCTGTACTATTGGGAAGAAAGATAAAGATGAATATACGTCACCATAGATGACATCCTGCCTCTTGATGATGTTCTTGCGGTGTGTTTGCAGGTAGCTGCTGTCCACGGCCATGCTCCAGGAGTCAGCCTTGAAGTCCTGTCCCTCAAGCTCCAGCTCTTCTAATACTGAACTATAGTAGTTGTCTCCTAAATAAGAGAAAACCTTCAGCATCAAACAATCAGAGGCTCACACATGCTGTTGGAGCTGCACAGTGATCTACCCAGGAGTGAAAAGACAACTTGATCCTTCACTTGTTTCGAAAATCTGTTTGGAAGGTCAGCAGATCACCCTGTGCAGTCAAACTTGTGTTAAGGTGAATATAGTTATATATGTTTTAGTCATTTCAGACATTCATCATGTACAATATAGAGTACATAATCAGCGATCATCATATCAATAAACAGAAATAACAGCACAAAACATGACATCTCAACTTTACTGTAGACCTATTTATGCGCATTTGCGCATAAGATGAGACACCCTCCGCAAGATGAGGCCCCACGCCGTCTGTGTGATCTGCGTGTAGGGAGGGGCGGCCCTGACATGCCGTGTACTAAGGGAAGTATCTGAATTGATACACAGCATTGGTGTTACTGAAAAGTCTCAAACACTCGTGCTTCTTCTGACACACTACACACCTTAACCAAGTTGTCATTCTCCATCTAACCTAAAAAACCATTACCATTTTCTGACATAATAGTCAATGCACTTCGCCTAAATTCACATCAGGTGGGTCACTGAACTCTCCTAACATTGCTTTGCACCTCCTATAGGGAATGTCAATAGGTCTGTAGATCTGGAGGTCCTGTATCCACCCGTTTGTTAACTCAACATGGGCCTCAAAAATGTATTATGTATATATTTTTAAATTGCCAACAGGTGTAGGCACAACACAAACTACAACACTATAGTACAGTAACACTCCTCTGTTTCTGCTTCAAAAACGGCTGATACGCCCCAGAACGAACTGCCGTTTCCATTCCCTGTTGCACTTCTGACTCTCCGGAAGGCTTTCTTGCCTGCTTTCTAAGAACCAGCTTACTCACTTGACCTATGGCACTGACATTACTTTTATCATTTTGGTGTGAAGATGTGCAGTTTCTCGTACCGTCATCGTTCAGGGACTCTATTGACATAGCTCTGTTCCTGAAGCTGAGGGAGTCTGTGGACTGGGACAGGATCCTGCGCAGCCCCAGGGTGGAGTCCTCACTCAGGGTCCTGCAAGACACACACACTTACTGAGACTTTAGTGAGGAAAGCCATTATTTATGATCAGTGTTTGAACCCAGACAGCCTATGTGACAGGAAGTAGCCTCTTAATATAAGAAAGTTCAGAAAGTCAAGAAGCAGAACATTTACAGTTTATGGCAAAAGCTATTAAAGAAAACATTTGCGCATTAGAGCAAGTGCAACGGTAAAAGATCAAATGAATAATGGCTGAGTTCCATTTAGCTGCTTTGGTATTATGCATGCTGACTTCCTGTTGCTCACCCTGGAACACTTGAACACATCAGATGCATCATCAGTGTTGTCAGTGACATTATTAAATGCATCATTTGAACATTTATTTCTTTGGATGCGTTAACAGGCTTACGGTTATTGATATTGGTTACATTCTATGTGTTTATTACCTTTCATAAGCATTTGGATGGGCTATGTAGCCCTTTTTCTTACACAAAAGGGAAATCCTTGAAGTCAAATGTTTGCCTACACCTCTCATTAGACAATAACCCAAATGTATAATAAAACGTACAGTATGAATTAGATGAATAATGACCACACATTTGAAGAAAGACAGCTTTTAGCATTTTAAAAGTCTGTCACCTGTCTAGTAGAACATTCAATTGTTTAAAAAAAAGTGCTACAGTCCTGGGGGCTGACATAGTAATATAACAAATGAAATGCCGACTACCTCTTATTTAGTGACCCCATGGTTCATTTGCCCATCACCTTGAAACCGAATCATGTGAACAGGGACATGAATGCGTGGAGGCGTGTAGCGCAGTGAACTAGTGCGTTGGTGTTCGGATCAGGGGAGCACAGGTTCAAACCCCACTGCAGTCAGCATGTCGTTGTGTCCCTGGGCAAGAGACTTCACCCCAAATTCCCCTTGTGGGGATTGCCCACAGTATTGAGTGTGTAAGTCGCTTTGGAAAAAATCGTCTAACAAGTAACATGTCATGTAATGTAATTGATATCCAGATATCTTCATGCAAACATTATAACATTATAACATAATCAGGTCCAAACTAGGGAAAGGCTCATAGCCGGGATACTTTGCACGTATGAGGGCAGGTGTGATATACTAACTATGATCTACTAAACCAAGGATCTACCTAGCAGATTTTGCAGGGTCACCACCCACAATCATCTACAGAGGGTAGAGCAGGGGTGTCAAACTCAAGGCCCGGGGGCCAAATCCGGCCTGTGACTTCATTTTCTGTGGCCCCACAAGAGCTTGCAAAGAATATTATATGTTTATTATACGGTTACATGATGATTTACAGAAGCACGTTGCCCATAAACCACATGTCCCACAATGCATCTCAAATTAGACTTTTTTTTCTCAGAATTTGACTTTTTTTCTTAGAATGTGCCCTTTTCTCAGAATTTGAAATGTTTTCTTCTAAATATGCCTTTTTTCTTAGAATGTGCCCTTTTCTCAGAATTTGACTTTTTTTTAACTGTTACTTCCTTTTTTTTTTTAAATGTCACTTATTTTTTTTATTTTGACTTTTTTTTCCAGAATTTGTATTTTCTTTTTAAATCATTTTGTGACATTCTCACTGAAGAGACTTGCAATTATTTGCCCCAGACTTCTGCTTTCAGACGTTAATTATGAAGTTATTACCCTATCTGATAATAATCCAATGCAGAGGCAATAATGTAATATAATACATTATTTTATATATATATTTATATATGTATTTTTATATAGTCTTAAAGTTACAACCGGCCCTTTGAGTGCAGCCCTAATGCTGATGTGGCCCGCGATTAAATTGAGTTTGACACCCCTGGGGTAGAGGTTAGACCCAAACCCATGGGTAGATCCCTACGCCTCAGTAAGGCCAGAGAGATGTGCCTTAGGGTTGCATTTGACATGTAGCATTGGCCAATGAAAGTGAGGCTCACCCTGCGATATTGTTGGTGGACACACTCTTGGACAGGGACAGGCCGGAGCGACCCCGGCGGGACCCCAGCAGGGTCTGCCTGAAGCTCTCTGAGGGGTAGATGGCTGAGGTGGGACGCTCGCGCATTCCTGGAGCTACGGAGGAAATGTTGCAGGTAGAGGAGGGAGAGCACCATGAGGGAGAGTGACGAGGGAAAGACATGGAGGAGGAGGAAGAGGAGCAAACAGGAGTAGGAGGGATTGAGTGGGTGGAGGAGAGGAGTAGGGATAACATCAATGATGCTTGGTGCACTTTCCCTGATGACGGATGTTTTTTCTGCCAAGATCATTTACCCTTTTTGGTTGTTGCAGACATTTACATTCCTCCTGAAGAATATTTAAAAACTTGAACATCATTAATGTAATCATGAATGGACTAGTGTTGCAGAATGCCAATAAATGATTGTTGGATATGTTGAGAGACGTTTAATAGGGAGAAAATGAACAACGTTTTGAGGAAGAAGAGAATAAAATGCAGGTGGTGGAAGGAGACTGAATACATCTGAGTGTGTGAAGAGCTCTCACCTTTTGTGCGCAGCGTGACAGTCTGCAAGGCTGAGCTGTTCCGCATTAGGGCTGTCTTCTGTTGCTGTGTTAGACAAAGAAATTGATCAGTATGAACATGTAAAATAGCATACTCAATTTTCAAAATGGTTACAGTTTAAGATATGCAATGATTCAATTGTTCACTGAAGTAAATATCCATATATTCAATTGTAACCTCAGTAGCATCTCGTTAAAACATCTCATCTATGGTTGAAAAAAGTCAGTACACCTATTTCACATTCAAACCTGAATGATGGACACAAAGGCTTGTTCAACCGGGAAATATAGTTTATGAAATAAGTTTGCTCCATGTCCACATAGCTTTTTAAGATGTATTCTCTGTTTCTGTCTAATATTGGTATAACTGCTTTATAGTCTTTCTTTTACATTCTGTAAAATGTTTTTGTGTTGTATATTTACTCATGGTCCCAAGAGTAACAGTGGACATGTGTCACAATCTAGAACTAGCATTTTTGATTGATGAACAAATATTTGATCGTGGTCTTCAAATGACTCGCTAAATATGAGCGTAAATAATAAACCTTTCAAACGTATATAAGATCTGTCAATTATGAGAGCTGAGGATCAGTGGTGTAGCCTTTGTCTTACCCTCTGTTTCATTTTGGCGCAGTTTGGCAAAGCGTCTCGACAGCGATTGTGGATAGTGACGTTGCATGCTAAGGAAGAACAGAGGTAACATAAAGAACAAAACACTATTTGAAAACCTTTTAGTTTTTAGTTACGTTTATTCCACTGAATTATTATTAAACAAAACATCTACACTTAAAGCAGTTTTTAGCCGATGATGGAAAGGAGCAGGGAGAAGAAAGTCTTATTTTACTTCCCTTACTCAAAATGTATGGTCTGTCAATCACAGCTGATTGCAACCAATACTTACAGTAACTTCAAACCAAAATCACAAGTCAACATAACAATCTTCCATCGGTAAAACAGGTTACCTGTCATCTTTATCATTTGAATGATTCTTTCTTTATACATTTTTGTAAACCTAAAGATGTTCATACAGCCCCCAAACTCATTTGTTAAAGATCTCAACAGTCTAATGCTAACTGCAGAGATATACATCTGATTTAAAGTAGTGTGTGCAAAAGTTAAATGTTATGCTTTATGCACAACCAATGAAGTGTGAACAGCCTTGACTCAGTGAACAGTGTGTGTGTGTGTGTGTGTGTGTGTGTGTGTGTGTGTGTGTGTGTGTGTGTGTGTGTGTGTGTGTGTGTGTGTGTGTGTGTGTGTGTGTGTGTGTGTGTGTGTGTGTGTGTGTGTGTGTGTGTGTGTGTGTGTGTGTGTGTGTGTGTGTGTTCTCGGGGATATGTTTTATGCACATTTCTCACGGGCAGGACTTGGTCTTGAATGCTCCCCTGTGCTTCTGCCTCTCTACCCACCTCTCAGTGTATATTTCTTGAAGTGCAGTAACTGTGACTTACTGGGGCAGCTGAGCGCCTCCTTGGCAGTTATGCTCTTGTTGCATGCTGAGCACAGCGTGTTCCCTGACACAGTCAGAGAGGTGAACAGGTGACCGTTGCTGTAGCGAGCCTCCCTCTCCCTCGCTGCTTTCTCTCGCTCCCTCATGCGTTCTCTCTCTTTATTCTGAAAGAAAGAAACAAGAAATGTGAAAAAATGACTTCCTGTATAAAGCAGAATGTATACACAGCATCTACGCGCTGACCTCTGTTAGCCTCGAAGGCATTGCATGTGTTCAAAGAGGCCCTCTTCTGCTTTTTGGGGTGTTCCCTCTCCTATAGAGTGTTTTAGTGTGTAGGTTTTAGTGCATGTAAATGGTCTGCAAAGGCTGAAATCCCTGTGTTCCCTCCAGAGGGAGTTTTCTCCCTCCCTGCCTACAACGCCTCCATTGGCGACACATTGTACATGATATTATAAGGGCGGGACATCTCTTAGCGGTTGACCAATCACAACAGAGCCTGCCAGCTAACCAATCAGCTTTTTGAACATTAAAGCATGGAGCCATGTCCCAGTAGAGACACTAAATGCTAATATGAACCCGAACATCAGCTGAATAGGGCCCCTTTAAAGACTCATAAGACTGAGTTAGGAGCAGGCACTTATGGACACAGCAGACACCTTTGAATCATCCTCACTCTCACTGAAGGCAAGTTGTAATTCTGCTCTTTGTAATCGTTGGCTGACCGTATCGGTTTAATTTAGTTTCATTAGGAACGGAAGAGACAGAACTCCTCTACAGCAAGGTCATAGTATGCCATGTTGGCATGATTTGAAGAAGCTTTTTCTCTTTGGCAGTGCATGCATACTGGTCCACATATTACATCTAATACAAACAAGTTATATTTACTTTTTCCTTTGCTTTAATACTTTGTCTCCTAATCCGGTGCCACGGTTCATTAATCTGCTTACTTAGTTTACTGAGATTTACTAAGAATGTTTATTTTAGCTTTCTTTTGGGTATCCTCCCCAGTGGCTCCCTCTTATAAAGCAAGGGGTTACACACAGTCATTTTCCTAGGTGTATTTGTATTGTCTATTTGCTATTTACTTTTTTTTCTTCTCAGAAAAGAACGCTCCAAAAAGCCAATGGGATTTCTCCATTGGCTTTCCAGAATACATGTTTATGATATCAGGATCAGCAGGATCATCTCCACATATTAACACCACTTTATGATTTCTGAAGCACAAATGCGTTCAGCAGGAGTAAGAGCCTCTTATGGCTGCCTATCACCACCGCTACACTAAAGGCGGACTTGTGTCGGCGTGATGATGATTTAGACACTTGTTAGCAACCGCCATTTTTATCCTCATATAGAAGCTGCAGACATTCACCGGCGGGAGATTTACTGACATATTTTATGCTGTAGAACAAAACGTGAACATTTCTTCAGCTTGTTTTAACCACAGACCTTATTTCAGGCTTCTAACCAGAAAAGATGTGTGAGACAAGGGAACAGGAAGGCGTAAACGCTAAATATTTTCCGGGTATAAAGGACTCATTCCTGCGCCCCTCTATCGAGACGGCAGATCTACCAGTTCAAGACAATCTTTCATTATATTGTAATCTACACTTCATAAGTGACCACAATTAGCCAAAGAAGCTAAAGCCAGGCTTATAGTGATCATGTGATGTGACGTTTGCGAACGATCCGATTATTTTGAAGGGCTCTTTGGTACGAACGAAGGGAACCGAGTCCTACTTGGTGAGAGCTGTTCCACTCGCCTTTAAAGGAACTTGCTTTCCTGAATGCAACTGTGCCATACAGTAGATGATGGCGTAGCGCATGCTGCTTGAGTAGTAGTTTGGCTGGCTGAGAGATTAAGCAAGTTATACATTTTTTCTGTGAGTAAAAGTAGATTTCTGGCAATACAGTCAATCATTATCCTGGTGATTATTTCGCAGATAAGCCTATTAACCCCGCCCCCTTAAAAAAAAAAACGGCTCTTTTGAACGGCGGGAGCCATAAGATCCGGCTCCCTTCAAAGAGCCGTAATTCCCATCACTACAGGCTTATCCTTAGCTTTATTAAATCCAGACATGGTTTCTGCAGTAGTCTTCAGTACTCTTTAGAACCTCCATGTGCTGCTTGTCTCAACCCCCAGGACAGTTGTGAGTCTCTGTGAGGATGGAGTGACCCAGATTGATTCCTAAGGGCAGCAATGCACCCTGGGTAATTTAAGTTTAGCTTTCCTGACCGATATATTAGTGACAAAGCCAAAGTACAGACACTGCAGGAGGAAATGAACACCCGAACACATTGTGTGTCCTATGAGATGGATGACATGAAAAGGTGAAGTGTTCAGAGGGGAAGTTACCCAGCATGCACTTTTCATCCTGTAGTACAGGCTGAATATCCTCAGATGGTATAACTGGTAGTTTATGATCATGAAGAGTTATGAACTCACTTATCTGATGTTGAAGTGAAATGAAAACCACCAGGTGAACCTTGTCCTCACACACCTGCGCAAACATTGTTTGTTGACTGTGCAAGCTTGAGCTAATTCATGTTCCCAGTGAGTAAGGTTCTGTTGTCACCAGAGATATAACAGAGCTTCTATACAACATGACACTGCAGTGGGGCTTCTCTCAAATGCCTCTTCAAGCCCTTTTTTCTCATAGACATCCATCTGTACGGTCTGTAACGAAATTGTTATGGGGTGATTAAGCATTGCAAAGTATGCATCAATTTTAAGAGAAAAATATATATTTTTGTGTGGTCCAAGCAAGATTATAATTGCAATATACATGATTGTCTTGTCTTCCTTGTAGTAGATAAAAAAAAGAGCCTGTCAGTGTTCCTGGAAAGTGATAATCTTGGGTTCGTCGTCCACCTTAGGTTCACAGGTTGTGTGGCTATTTGGCGTGTGCAATAAGCACTAAACAATGCAATAGTTGCCATCTTTGGAAACAATTGTATGCTGTGAAGCCTGATGCATCAACAAGTTCCTTTTTCATAGGAAAAACTCTCTGTGTTTATCCACAACCGCACAGTGTTTAGCATGGTGACAAACTTTCATTTTCCAATATCTCATTTAAAACATGTTCTGATTAATCTGCAGAGATATCAAGGTTCAAGGTTCTTTATTAGTCATACAACCATAGCTGCAGAGTAGTTATGTCGATGAAATTCTTAAGTCACAGGCTTGGATGACCTAATACAAATGCTTTGGATGGTGACTTAGTTTTGTAATGCGTTCATCTCAATGTGGCTTGTGTTCACACTCAATGTGTACATAAACCAATAAAGAAAGAAACTTTAGGATCATTTTTTTATGTCGATTTTCTTTACAGAACTGAATGAAATGGTGAGACATACAGAACATATGACAGGTAGGCTTTGGCTAAGCTGAGCTAAGCTAAGGACAATAAGACTAAGGGAGGCTGTGGCTCAGTGAGTTAGTGCATTGATCATCTGATCATCGGATCAGGAGAGCACTGGTTCAATCCCCACTGCAGTCAGTATGTCGTTGTGTCCCTGAGACTCTTCACCCCAAATTGCTCCTGTGGGGATTGCTCACAGTATTGAATGTCTGTAAGTCGCTTTGGATAAAATCGTCTAACAAGTGACATGTAATGTAATGTAAAAGACTCCAAACCAAATGAATAAAGACATCAGACTTGGGCAAATTCTTCCTCCCAGTCAAGGGACGCTGTAGGTGTATCATGGGATATATGGTGGGATCATAATATCCACAAGAACTTGAAATCTGACCTCAAGATACAAGATAAGTTAGCTAACTTAAAGTAGTCTGCTAGGAAGCAGATAGGGAGCCATCATGATTCCATTAGAACATTCTGTCCCCTTATCATAAAGTACCCAACAGATTCAAAAAGTGCATCGGCAAAGAAAGTCTATAAACTGTCCTCTCAATCAATTAAAAAAATGTATTTGCGTTAATCACAATAATAATCTGCGATTAATCACAAGTTTAATATACTATTATTGACTTGTATTTTGGGGGCTGATAAAACAAATACATGGTGTTGTAATAAAGAAATTCATAACAAATTGGAAGAGAAATCAGAGGTTTGTTTCCTTTATTATAACATTTCATGCTTCGTTTGAAAATGTTTGAACTTTGGAATTAAATCCAACTTTTTACTGTCTCTCAGTTTAAGAATCAACAATGATGACATGTCATGGAGAGCAGCAGTGATGACCCTCTGAATGATGTGTGCCACACAGGGCACACTGTGTTATCTTAGCTGCTATCACACTGCGAGAGCTATCTGTTCGTGGTGACCCTGGCCACTACCTCCCACTTCTGTGCAACTTCAGGAAACTGAGAAAGGTTTAGCCAAAGACTTTCCCTCTGTCTTCACCACTCCTAAAGCAAACAGGTGCAGTTGTGCCGTCACAGCAAGGTAGTGATGGTTCCTACTGATGTCCAGTCTGTGGAACACAAGTCTGGTGCCGATTTCTCCACTTTCTCCGCTTTTTGTTAAAATGTTAAACATTCGTGCTTAAATTACGGGGGCGACTTTGGGTCAAAATTGGCGATGTGATTAAGGTTTCCAGATTAATCGCAAGCGTTAACACATTAACATTGACAGCCCTATCAAAACTGAAAAAACTAAGAGCAATCCCCAGAGAGGCTCTGACTGCAAATATATGCCGTACAAGAGAGGGGCCGGTTATAAAACCACCCCCACAAGCAGGTCCAGACTCAGACCAACAGACCCCAGCCTGAACCACAGCCCTCCACCTCCACTGAGACAAGGCCACAACAAAAAGCTTCATTACGACCCACCCCCTCCACCACAAGACATCTGGAGACAATATAACTCCCAGTGATGCTGACATTGTTACACTTAGACCTGAATGGGAAATCTGTAAATGAGAACCAGCTGTTCCATTCAAAAAGTCAGTAAATGTCGGTGTCCCAAGACTGACAATGCTCTCCAGCCAGAGTCCACCCTAGGCCAGCGTAGCCACCACTATATCATACACACTGGTACTCAGGAGACAACCTGCCAGTCAACACCGCCCTCCATCCCCTCCACTGCAAGGCAGCCATCCCAGGATCAGAGCACCAGAGACAGAGAACCCTCACACCACCTCCTACTGGTCCAGTCCTACAGCCCCAGGAAGTTCAGAACCAGCAGACAATGAACTGAGAGAAAAGCATGCAGACTAATTCCAATTTTAATTTTGCTTAAATTACTGCAATCAATAATAGAACCCATTCTGCTTTATGGAAGCAAAGTGTGGACCCGCAAACAAAACTAAACGTTTACAAATAATAAAATCAGCTAATTGAAAATGCTCACTCATTACTTTTGTAAAATCATCCTAGACAAAAACAGACAACACCTGCAGAGCTGAATCCGACCAATATCCATTCTAATAAAAAATTCAAAGATAATCAATAAAATATTGGATACATCTAAAACAAAGCGACCCCCACTCTTTCCATCACAAGGCCCCGCAGTATCAAGAGATGAACAGAGACAAAAGTCCCCCACCTGATCCTTTTTACCCTAAGACACTTTGTCCACAAACCAGCTCAAACTGTTTTCTGAGACCTGAACCATCAAAGTAAACACGCAATGTTATTTGGCCCTATCTGAACTATCTACCATGTATGATGTTTAACACAGAAACATGTTAGCCATAGAAAAAGGCTGATATGAAAAAACATGGCTGCCAAAAGAGAAGTGACTGTGCCAACAATGTGGAGGAACTGCTGTAGAGAAGAGCAGCACTTCCTCACACAATGCCCAACATGTTCTCTAAAAGAAATCCACAATTTAGTCAGAACATGAAAAACTAAAAATAGTGCTGGGGGAGAAGAAGGAAGGAAAGCTGCATTCAGGTGTTGCAGTTTGTCTGTACAACATGAGGGAATCAAACCGGCATGCTCAATCTACACCAGGCCCAGTGGCGGCTGGTGCACTTTTCTCCAGGGGGGGCTCTACCAAAATGTAAGCAAACTTATACACAAACTCAAAACATATGTCATATTACAACTCAGGGCTAGCTCAAAGGCACACAGCACTTGATACAGTCTATTATTTGAGTGTTTTTGTCAACCTCCTTATTATGCTTACTGATCCCTATCCTGTAGCCCTCACTGGACAGCTGTGTTTACTTTCCTAAACATGGCTAGTCGCATAGCATCATCCATGTGGACTCTAGTCTGTTCATGCTTTTGAGTTTTTGTCTGATATGTGCTTTAAGTCACTCACATCTGTCTGGATCCATGCTGGGTCTGGTCCATAGACTGGTCTGATCCTGACGTTTGAAAAGGGAGGCAGGGGAAGCTAAATATAGCACTGGTGTTGCTACAGTTAGCCTTCTTGTTAAACCAGCTCCTTGAAAAAGAGCATGTATACTGCCTTCCTCTGTCCTTAACTCCTGCCTATGTCAGGCTGATTAGGTCCGAGCTCTTTTACTCTCAGCTTTCCCTCCAGTCTCCTCCTCTCAAAGGGTGTTTCTTTAAGTGATTAAACATCATTTTCCTTCTCCATATTCGCTATCTAGTTTTGTTTACACTCCGTCTCCGTCTAACTCTCTCTCATTCAAACGTCAATCACTCACTCTGGCGCTCCTGCTGCCCCCTAGTTGTTGGCGGTGTCAACAGCTGCTTTGGGCGCAGCTTGGGTGCGCCCCGAGCTGCTCCTATCTGTTGCATTGAAGAGGTGCGGACTGCGCATGCACCACTTATAACGAGAGTCAATAGAGTCGTGCAGTGACGAGTCCTAAAACCCGGAAGTGAGTTAGCATTTTACCACTTTACCGGTTCCCTCGTCTCAGAGCCAATGGGATTTCTCCATAGGATTTTGGAAAATATCTGGAAATAAGGTCTGTGGTTGAGACACATTGAAGAGACGGATCACGTTTTGTTCTAGGACATTAAATCCATCAGCAGTTACCCCGCTGGTGAATTTTCAAGAGTTTACGTGTCTGAAAAACGATGGTTGTTAACAAGTGGCTGAATAGGACTACAGAAGTCGTGGAGGACGTTGTACGTCATTACGCCGAACACGTAAACACTCCCGCTAAGTTTGTTTGCCCTGTTCTGCTTGAAAGCAAGTACCTGTCTCCTGCAAACTGTTCAAACAAACGCTTCAACTTGTACCATTTTGAATCTGTATGTTTGAATATGGATCTTAAGTTGGCGTGACGTTGAAGTCGTGCTGCTGTACTCGGCTGTAGTTCCTTTAGCATAACGTTAGCATTTTGCTTCTGGCGATTAGATTTATGATTAGAAAATTATAAAGGTAGGGTAGACATGTGGATATTATCCGGCTGAACAAAACATGCATTTATCCTATGGAGAAATCTCATTGCTTTTTTGTCGAGGGAACTTATGCGCAGCTTACTTCCGGGTAAATACGTCATCACTGCACCACTCTATGGGTAAAGATTTCTGCGCCCCAAGCAGGAAACATATCTTATCAGTAACTTCAGACATCGTAAAACAATTTTTTTCGATATTTTATCGTAGATTATACATTTATCTGACACCAACTATATAATATGTGCCTTGTTCATTAAAAAAAAAATGTTTAAAAAAAAATGTTTTAATGACAATCTAGAATGTGGGAAGAGGTGGGGCGGCGCCCCCAGCGCCCCTATGGGCCATCCGCCACTGACCAGGCCTCTCTCTTCCTTTATTTGTATGTATTTTGGGTATATACTATCAACAATATCACTTTATCCTCCAAGATGATCAATAACTCCCCATGTGATTCCTTTGGTTCTTCTCCCTTTTTTTTAAGGAAATCATGTTAGTTAGGTTCTGTTCAAAATGTTAAAGGGTATATTAGAAAAGCATATGTAAGATGTCGTGGCAGACCTTCATTGGCTTCCTGTCAGTTACAGGATCCAGTTCAAGTACTTACTTGTTGTTTTTAAATCATTGCATGGACTGGCACCACATTACCTGTCTGAGTTGTTGCACCCCCATGCTCCAGCTAGAGCATTGTGCTCAGCTCAGCAGAATATGGTGGTGGTTCCTCGGTGTTGCAGCTCCCAGACTGTGGAACAGCCTCCCAGTACATATCCGGACTGCTGAGTCTATTGAACTTGTACAGTGCCTGTACAGCACTTTGGTCAACTGAAGGTTGTTTTAAATGTGCTAAATAAATAAATAAAGATTGATTGAGATTGATGTCGTAATTGTCATTTTTCATACAAAAAGCAATGGGATTTTTCCATGTGGCAAACAGATGTTTATGATACTTATAATAATTGAAGCATAACTGCAATAGCCAGAAGTAAAACTAAAAAGCTAATATTAGGCTATAAATAAAGTTTGGCGGTCGCATGACTTTACTTACTTACTTACTTTACATGACTTTTAGCCGCCTAAGCTAAAGGCGGCTAATGTTTGGCATGATGACATTTCGTTTCTGTAGTCATGTTGTTAGCAACTGTCTTTTTTAGGGTTAGGGTTATTCCCCAGTGGAGTATTTACTGATCTATTTAATGTCGTAGAAGAAAATGTGAAAATCTCATTAGCATGTTTTAGACCTCATTTCAGGCATCCAACCAAGTTCTCAAAAAGATATTGACTTTGAAACAAGGGAACCCAGAAGTGCTGAAATGCCAACTAATTTCCCAGTTTATGACTCATTCCTGCGCCAATCTATGGCCGAATCCAGAGTTATTTTACCTCCTCCATTCATTTGACTGATCCGAGATGTCGGCCCTGACATAGTAGTCGCTGGGAGCCAGAGGATGGGGAAGATTCCTGGAAGATCTGGGTATTTCCGTTCTCGAGAGTCAGGTCATTTTGGCTTCATGCGCCACTGATCAACTTTCATAGGAATGAATGGGGCCCTGCCTCCAATGCTTTGTCCAGTTCCTTTCATACATCCATGGTAGCTCACAAGAACTGCAAATTGTGTGACATTAGTGAATCTGGCTGATCCCATGACAAAGCGTTTTTACCTGACCCTCTCGTGTGCGCACCTTTCTAATGAGAACGCCTGTGAGACTGGTGCCTTAGTACATTTAGTCCTGGATATTTATTTATATATTTATTTACACAGATTATTCAGGCCTACAACATTCTCAAATAAAGCAGTTATATCACACACACACCCACTGCCATTTCTATGGCAACAGTTGCTATAGTCAAATATCAAGTGAGCAAGCACACTGTGTTCAAGCAAACATACATACAGACCACCACCTACATTCACAAATACAAAGAGGCTTATCCTGCAGATCTGGATGAGAATGGCACCCCCCCTATAACAGGGCCCATGGCCTGAGAGGCCCGTGCTCCTGAAGCACAGAGCAGGCCCCGTGTCAAATTAGGAAATGTTTTATGGGTTAGAGTGCAAAAACAGGCAATGACACATGATGAAGAAAGAGGAGGGAAGTGACAAACACAGAGACAGGAAATGACTACTAAAATATACATGATATCATTTAGTGGAAATCTTCACTTAACTTGTGTTTTCCCTGTCGTAAACATACATTGTGTGGTTGGCAGGACCAGAAGTCAGTTAGATGCCAGCGCGTGATAGTCTTTTTTGTTGTCACACCTAATGATGAACATAATGCCAACTCACCCGCAGGTTGATCTCCTTCACTCTCTCTTGTCGCAGCTTCGACAGGTTGGTAACTCTGGACATTGTGACAGTCAGACAATCAAATATCCAATATTAACGTGTGTATGCTTCTCTATTTAATCCTCTAGATCCCTTCCAAAGAGAAAATCAAAAAAGTATTCTTCCCTCACTGGCCAACTGCAATGTGCTTCTGCTTCTAGTGAAGTGGCTGTTCCTGTGAGAAATCTGACTTCTGAATCATCACCGCCCCCTCACACACACACACACACACACACACACACACACACACACACACACACACACACACACAGACACACGCAGACACACGCGCATGCACACACAGTGTTCAGCTGTTAATGCCTGGTATAGACTATCCTTTGCTACTGCCCAATATGACCCTTTACAAAATGCTAACATTAAAGCGGTTTACACTGAGGAAAGAACTAAAGTGTTATTATTTATGTTGATTAAGGCTTTTTTGGCCTATCTGTTTATCACAAAGAATATCTCAAAGCATAAATATTACATTTATGTTTTAGAGGATGATGTGTTTGTGTGCTATACGTTATCAGCTCCTCTACTTGGAGAGCAGCTTATTTGGGCCCTAACATATAAAGTGGAATCTTTACTGTTGTGATATTATTAATATGAGTAGTATTGATTACAGTTTTTAAAATGGGTACCATGCAAACAGATACATTCTGAAGATGTGGCATGATGCGATGTGTATTGGAATAATGAGCTCAGTAGATGACCCACGGTCGAGATGGATGGAGGTGTTTATGGCGGAGAAGGGCTGCTTCGATTTGACACTTAAATGACAGCTGACAGCAGCAGATAAAGGAACAGTTTTAGAGTTTGACAGGAACAAGATGATTGGCTCGCAGAGATTGAGGCAAAATCTGATTGGTTTAACTGACAGCCCTCAGTCATCTGTTTAAGTTAGAGGCAAGCAAAGGGGGAGATAGAAAGAGAGATGGGAGGGGTATAACAGAATTCTTGCTGATTGAACTTTCGCTAAGCTTTATTTAAAGGTCCCATGTGATGCTTTTCCGGTTATTACCCGTCCCCTTGTGTGTTATGAAGGTTTTTATGCATGTAAACGGTCTGCAAAGTCACAAACCCTCAAAGTACACCCTGTAGAGAGTAAAACTCTAACACAGAAAAGACCTGTCTATGCTGCCCCAGAACGCCTCGTTGGAGATTTCTCTTTTTCCATTGTTTTCTTCCTGGGTACAGTGACGTGCCCATACCCAAATGGACCAATCCGTGGAGCCGTTACGTTACGTCCGAGGAGCTGTTCCTCACACACACACACACACTCAATCTTTTCTCAGCTGCAGCTCCGCCGATTTCTCCTCCCTGAGCAACCCAGTCTCACGGCATTTCGTGTTATAGTCACGACATTGAATCTATTGATTCGTGTTCACCAACACGATTTTCCCCTTTTTTTCGTGTCACACTGAACGATTTTAAAAGCAATGTATTTCTATTGGTAGTATGTTTCGTGCCTGCAACACGTCTTTTTGTCCGGTCGGGTCTTGGAAGACCGGAAGCTGTGGGGTTCATAAAAACATGTTCTTACCTTCCCTACTGCATTCATACACAAATCAAATATTGCACTTTCCCTATTGCACCTATGCATAGTGTCCGTCAAATTGCACATATCCCTATTGTATCCATACCTATTTACACATATTGCACTTTCCCTATTTAACCTTCTCGATTGCACATACTACACTGTAAACATTGCACCTCCCAACAACTCCTATATTTGATAGTTGGTGCTTGAGAAGACTAAACATTTATCTGCAGATCCCTATAAAGTATATTCATTACTTGTTATTCTCTACTAATAGTTAATTAACCTGTTAAGCCCCAAGCCTGTTTTTCAGGTCTCAGGCTCGAAAATGACATTTCCAGAACAAATGACCATAACTACACTTCTGAAAGGGGAAAATTAATAATCTTTTTTCTCAAAGTAATGATAAACCTGTGAGTTGGATGTAGAAAAGTCAGAATCAATATAGATGTTTTTTATTTTGAAGAAAATTCAGATTGAACATAGTAAAGAAATTTAAATTATAGTGTCCGTCCAAACATTATTTTTTACTTATAGTGAAAACCACCCTTGGATGATGGGTTAGTAGACTAAAAGCTTTAGGAATCCAAAGTACAACATATAATAAGTACCCTGTATCAAGATTGATGCAAAACAAGTGACATTTGACCTTTTCTAGAGAGGTTTAGAAAAAAAACTCCACCTCTTGGGTCATTTGGGTGGAAATGGGCGTTTTTGCCGTTTCTCTTTTGAACCGTTAGAGCCAATAGAATCGAAGGGGGATTTCCACATACACACCAACGTTACCATTGAGAAGTGGGGGCTATGCGCAGTTTGCCCAAAGCGAAACCTATTTTACGCTCTGAAATCTGAAAACGTAAAACTAGGTTTATTGCTGATGGATTATCATAAATCATTTCAAAGTGACACAGACACATTGGATTAACCTATGGATTAACCTTCAGCAGCGTTTTTATCGTTTTAATGCCATTGAAGACAACTTTTGATCAGACAACAACAAAGGTAAGCCATTTTGCCGTGTTGGCTACCTAATGCCACGTGTTGTGATGTCTGTTTTTGTTTCTAATGTCGCAAGTTCTGATCATGGAGTGATGATACAGATACCTATCGAATCTGTGTAATCTCACGATGCTAATCGATGGGTTGGATTTGCATTTACGATAAGTAATAAGGGTGTTATACCGTGAGTTCTGTACTAACGGCGTTAGCATGTTTTCGCTCAGGGCTAATTCAGAGGCTCAGCGTTAGTCTTGTGTTTTGTTTTGCTAAAAATGGTTCATATCATCAGTTAGCTGAGTTTCTTCCCGTTACATGGATATGAAACATTCATAGTTTATTAAATATTAAGAAGCCCTCAGATGCTGTTTCCTGCAGATTATGCGTTTTTCCCCCCCGCCGGCGGGCCCCGGAGGTGGTGAAGCAGATCTGGGCCCGGTTCGGGACAGCAGAGGTGGATCTGTTCGCCAGCCGGCGCGACAGCCACTGTGCCCTGTGGTTCTCCATGGCTTTGAGCGACGACCCGCCCTTGGGGGGGGACGCGTCTGCACACGAGCCATGGTCAAGAAAGCTGCTCTACGCCTTTCCACCGCTGCGTCTTATTCTCTCTCTCCTGGAGAGAGTGAGGCGGGAACGTCCCTCAATCATCCTAGTAGCGCCGGATCGCGTCAGGGCTCCGTGGTACTCAGGGATGACACAGATGAAGGTGGGCCAGCCCTGGGCGCTTCCCCAGTTCTGGGGGGCGATGTCTCAAGAGGCAGGTGCAATCGGGGCGTTACCCACTCTGGTCCAACCTCTCCAGGCTTGGCTCCTGAGAGGGACAGGCTAAGACAGGGTAGATTGTCTGATAGTGTTATTCAGTCTATCCAGGCAGCTAGAGCAGGATCCACCACAGCCTGTTACAGGCCGAAGTGGCTGGGATTCCTGCGATGGTGTGAGGAGCGGAAAATAGAGCCCCTATCTTGTGAGTTGGGATCTATTTTGTCGTACTTACAGTTATTGGTGGACAGAGGGCTTGCTCATTCCACAGTGAAAGTGTATGCAGCAGCCATCTCGTCCTGCCATGAGAGATTTGACGGCAGGTCAGCCTTTTCTCAGCCACTAATGTTGCAGTTTTTACAGGGGGTCAGGAGGCTGCGCCCAGTAGTGCACGTCTCCGCCCCGCAGTGGGACCTGCCGCTGGTGCTCGAGGCTCTGGTCTCAGAACCATTTGAGCCTCTGGAGCTCTCCTCCCTGAAAGCACTGTCGTGGAAGACAGCATTGCTACTTGCCTTAACGTCAGCCAAGAGAGTGTCCGAGTTAACCGCTCTATCGGTGCACCCGAGTTGCTTGGTGATCCGGGGTGACCAGAGTGCGGCGACACTCACGGACCGTCCACACAGCAGCGTTAAAAAAATCTTGAAACGCTTCTGCCCATTCACTTTGAATGGGGTGACGTCACTTTCCCTCACTTTTCGCCGAACTGCATTGTGGGCAGGCGAGCGGAGATTTTCAGGATTTTCAGGATTCAAAGTTGAGCAATGTTCAACTTTTGAGGCTGAGGTGGAAGCGTCAGCCAATCAAATCCCGTGTACGCAAATCTGACAGTTCAAGCTCTAGCCAATCAAACGGCGTGTATGCTGGGAGAGACATACCGCAGGTCATTTCCTCATATTCCAAAAAATGGAGGAGAAATTAGCGGGATATAAACCGGAGGAGCCAGGCATGGAGGTAGGTGGCAGAGGCAGTGGTATGTTTTCGCCTGTTTGGGGAGTTTATATCCAGTTTACTTCAAACTTTTTTGCTTCGTATGTCGGGGGCGGGAGATTCATGTGATTGGTTGTTGGTGCCTTGCTCGCAAAAAATCCCCAAGCTTCAGATACGCCCACCTCCAAGATTTTTTTAACGCTGCTGTGTGGACGGTCCGTCAGACCGAACCCCTCCTTTGTGCCCAAGAGCCTAAGGAGTGCGTTCAGGTCGAGGGCTATTCAGTTGGGGGGCTTTTCCACCTCATAGTGGGGCGAGGGAGGCTGAATTGCACCTCCTCTGCCCGGTGCGTGTGCTAGCGTGTTATGTGGAGCACACGGCTGCCCTTAGATGCACTAAACAGCTGTTTGTGTGCTTCGGGGGCGGGGTGATCGGGAAAGCCCTGTCCAAGAAACGCCTGGCAGGCTGGCTCTGCGAGTGCATTGCACATGCCTACGGTCAGGCGGTGAGAGCCTTCCCCACGGGGGTCCGTGCACACTCTACACAAGCTATGGCTGTGTCAACAGCCTTATTTAACGGCGTGAGCCCCCCCCCCCTCCTCACCAGTCCTGTGTTGCCCCAGCAAGCACAGACGTTGAGAAAGAGCCAGACATATCCAAGAGATAAAACTTTATGAAGGGGCCTGGCGTTGACCAAGACGCCGCCGTGCATATATCCTCCACACTCACACCGCTGAATAAGGCTGTTGATGCAGCCACAGCTCGTGTGGAGTGCGCACGGACCCCCATGGGACAGGCTCTCCCTGCCTGCTTGTAGGCGTGTGCAATGGCTTCGCAAAGCCAGCCTGCCAGGCGTTTCTTGGACAGAGCTTTTCCAGTCACCCCGCCCCCGAAGCACACAAACAGCTGTTCAGTGCGTCTCAGGGCAGCTGTGTGCTCTACATAA